GCCACAATCTCTAAAAACCCCCCTCACACGTCTTTGATCCATCTGATGAGCACAGCTTCAAGGTGAGCGCCTCAGATCAGTGTCAACAACGAGTTACGATGAACGCTATGACGTCACCACGGAGACGACCGTCGCCCTCCTGGAGTTAAACTGTCACCGCGTTTTCCTTTTACCCTCTCAGACATGTGCGGGAAATCTCGTTACAGTTATTACCGAAATCTAGTCGCTTCGTCCTCGAGTCCGAGTGGGAAGTTTGTGTCGGTTGTAATGAAATTCCCTCCAGGCGCTCTGGGGATATTGCACGGACCACCTGAAAACATAATACTTCTGGCTCCGGCGCAGAGGCGTAAATATTTGAGCCGACGACGGCGTCAGGAAAAAAAAAAAACAAGTTAGAGGTTTTGTCAAAGTTTAAAATTCATCCTGAGGAGGGAACGAATGTCAGCAGCAGCTTCCATTGATGATGTTTAATCAGCTGTTGAGATGTTTTGGTGTGAAACACAGACCAACTCTGCCATCCAGAGATTATTCTGGATTTCTGCTGGCCAACAGAAATCAGAATCACAGACGTCCAGCCTACCTGCTGATACTGAACGCAGGTTCCAGTGCAGTTCTGTCCTCGGGGGTCTCTGGCCCAGTTGCGAGCGCACGTCAGGTCCATCCTGCAGGCGTCAAACCTGGAGAAACGTGAACATGTTAATAAATCTGAAATGGAAAAACCTCAATTCTGTTATTTGAATAATTTCTCCTGGATTAGTCGGTCTGTTGCCAAGAGCCGGTTGACAAGATAGAAGGGCCGAAACTCAGTTATCAGCTGGCTAGCTTAGCTTAGCATTAGGAGTAGCAGCTAGAGTACCTGCTAAACCCACTAATCAACATGTTATATCTTGTGCAAAAATAGCCCGGGCTCTGTGGAGCTGTGACATTATGCATCCTGCACAGTAACTTCTTTCACAGGCGACATGACTCCATAAGGTGTTGATTTTACACTTCAAACGTTGTATAGGTTGAGCTTTGGAGGTGCTGGTAGGTGGATTTTGTTTCATTTGAACAACGCCAGCCAAGCTGTTTCCAGTCTTTCCTTCAGGCAGCTGGCGGTAACTTCATGTGAACTGTGCAAACATGGACGTGGCGGGGGTTAAACTGGGGTTTGTGAGAAGAGGGAGCTCTCGTCCAATAAGGTCAGAGCTGCTGACCAAACTGCAGGCAGCAGGAAGTGGTTCTGCTGAGAGGTCAGGACGTGAAGCGTTCGGACAGAGATGGCCTCGAGCAGCAAGTCCAGACCGGTTACAGGCAGCTACGAAGAATGGTTCTGGTCTCTATTCATAATTTCCCTGCTTATGATAAATGTACAGGCGGGGAAGCTTCATATAAGTCATTTCTCAGACGCTTTGTTTAGCAGGTGGATACCATCATGGTACAGTCCATGGTCCACCTTAGGTCCACGTCTTTTAGAGCAGCTCTTCAGGAAACCGTTGGTCCACCTTATGTCGGCTTCATCTGTCTTTACACACAGTTAACTGCTGAATCTTCTAAATGGCATTTTTAAAAACTAAATTCAATTCATCTTTAGGTCAAAATGGTGAGTCAGATGTCTTCAATTAAATCCATGTAAACAGCTGAACACCATTAAAATTAAATATATATTTACTATAATGTATAAATATTGTGTTCATAAATATAATTTCAATCTTTTAATTTGTGTATCTTTCAGTAATTTAGATGAAGCAACATTTAATATAAAAATAATTTTAAAAAAACACACACACATCTGTGAAGTCTCTAATAATAATAATAATAATAATAATAATAATAATAATAGACTAATAAGATGTATTAATAATAATTACATCAACACAACACCCCAGAACACGCAGACCTATTCCCAGACACCCTGCAGCTTAAGACCACTATCTTTAATTTGTTTTTTTTTGTTTGTTTTTTTAAAAGATGTAATTTGCATTTAATTGATGGTTTAAGACCTTCCTGCACACATTAAACACACATGTATCTGCTGTGACCCGACTACAGAATATAAAATAACTTACAGGCTCATAATAAACTGACTTTATGTTGCCCTGTGTTTTTTTATTTGTGATTACATCCGTTCATGTTTGCAGAAATGCCACTGGTGCAAATATTATTGCATATAATCACAATAAATGTAAACTCCCTGCAATAATCTTTTTAATACACCAGAAAAAAACGAGCATGTTCCTCCATCTGTACTGAAAATAAACAAACGCCTGATTTATCCTGAGCTTTGTTCCCGATGATTTCAGTACAGAAGCTGCTCGATTTAAGAAAAGCATTTATGTTATTAAAGCTACAAAACATCCCAATGACACATCAGGAGATATCAATAATTGATAAAGTTAGCGTCGCCGCTGCTGCTCCTGCTACACCTGTGTTTTATGCTCCTCTCTGTGATGCAGCTGCTCGATAAAGTCAAAGAAAAGAAGTTCAGCGTGAGACAGAGCCTGACAGCAATTTTCTGGATTTGTGTGCGACTTTGTGATGCTGAAGGAGACGGAGGTGAGCAGCGGCAGAGCGTGTTTGGATTACAGGAGGATGCTATCAATTTTCTCTCAGCAAGAAATCAAAAAGGCATATTCTGTCATATATACATGTTATACCAGGGGTGGGCAATCCTGGTCCTGGAGGGCCACAATCCTGCATGTTTTAGATATTTCCCTCTTCCAACCAGCTCATCATCAAGCTCTGCAGAAGCCTGATAATGATCCTGATCATGTGAATCAAGAGGGAAACATCTAAAACATGCAGGACCGTGGCCCTCCAGGACCAGGACTGCCCACCCCTGTGTTATACTGTAGCATAGATTTGTGCACCTTGCATTTAATGAGAGGCAATTTTCATATTTTTTAACGGGCACAAGCTGAAGATCTGTTGATGCTTTGACATCAGTGTGTCAACACATTTGCAGAGTGGTCTCATCTCATTCTTTACGATATGTGCAGCCTTGGTCTTACCTGCGTCACTCGGTCAGCTGCTTGCCGGACACTCGGTCCGAGCTCAGTATATCGCTGTAATACAGGACAGTAATGTCTCCCCTGACGGCCTAATGCGTGCAGAGGGACGGGCACTGATTTTGATTTAGGCTTTCTTGGCAGTGTGTCTGGCAGCCTCACCAATCACGGCAGAAGCTGTGGCACAGCGGCACGGCCTGGATGTAGGAGCGGCGGTGAGGATGAGGCCAGCGGGCGGCGTCGGGGGAGCAGCGGTAAAAACAGGACACGCGCTTCAGGAAGCCTTCACACCTGAGGAGACAGACGGAGTCAGCTTGTACGAACACGACGCTCAGTCAGGTTTGCGTTTAAACTCTCGCTGACCCTAAAATATCTGGTCAGCAGGCAGGTCAGTGGAACAAAGATCATTATAGACGTAGAGATTTAGTAGCTGATACGTATTGTTATGCTGTTCAATGCTGTTAATGAAACTTTAACGACGACTTCAGTTTGACTTCACTGCTGTTTACGAGCCGGAGGCCTCTTTGTGTTGTCACCGTTTTCTGTAACTCACCAGAGAGCTACCTTTTGTTATTTGACAGGTACTAATGTACTCGCTGGACCCACTGTGGGTTCTTTTATTCCACAGACTCTTTCTATGAGAGATTTCAAGGTGATATAGCTTAACTGGAACCTCGCTGTCATCTTCAAATTTGTCATTTTCCATTGTGTTTCTGGCCACATTAATGAATTTAAGTGCAGTAGTAACTGTCTTTTAGCTCCGTGTTTGGTCTCCACCAGCTACACAGCGAGCCACTACCACTGTCCAGTAAAGGTTTGGACCCACTGTGGCTTGTTTATTCCACAGACCATTTCTATGAGAGATTTCAAGGTGATACAGCTTAACTGGAACCTCGGAACGATATTATATTAACTCAGGAAACCTACTTAAAGCAGGGATTGTTTGTTCCAAAATGTGAAAATAAACTCATGACTGTCATCTTCAAATTCGTCATTTTCCATTAATTAGCCACATTAATTAATTTAAATGCAGTAATAATTGCCTTTTAGCTCCATGTTTGGTCTCCACCAGGTCCACAGCTAGCCACTACCACTGTCCGGTAAAGGTTTGGACCCACTGTGGGTTGTTTATTCCACAGACCTTTTCTATGAGAGATTTCAAGGTGATAGAGCTTAACTGGAACCTCGCTGTCGTCTTCAAATTTGTCATTTTCCATTATTAAGCCACTTGAATGAATTTAAGTGCAGTAATAACTCTCTTTTAGCTCCGTGTTTGGTCTCCACCAGCTACACAGCTAGCCACTACCACTGTTCGATAAAAGTTTGGTGCTGAGTGGGCAGCGGGGAAACCAGAATATGTCTATAAGGTGGTCAGTTCTTACACTGGGGTAGCACAAGATCTAATTAATCTTTTTTTTTTTTTCCAGTAAATCACTAACGGCCAAATGATCATGTTTTGGTCACGTACTTTTATCATTAGCTTATGTAGTCAACAGTATAATAAGCTTTTTATGTAGATTTCAACTGATTAAAAATCTGGATTGGTTGTTAAAGTCAGCCATTTTTAATTCTTGATACAGCACAAATAGGACGGCCACCTAGCTGAGACTTCAAACTGTGTCCATCCAGCCTTTTAGTTTCTGGTTCTGGCTCAGTCTTACATTGTTCAGCAGTTTGTTTGACGCAGGTTTCATCCCGACAGTCTTTAAGAGTCTTTACAAGAGCTTTAGCTAAATCCACGGCTAAACCTAAACCATACACACCTTTACTGATAACAGCATCCACAAACACAGTCTTTATTTGCCTTAAAAACAGACGCATATGTGGTGGTTGTGCAGGTAGAATGTACCTGTGTGGGAACAACGGATCCGGAGAAATGGTTCTGCCTGAAAACTAGTAGTAACTGAATGTAACGGGGATAGCGCCCCCCCTGGGATATACCTCTGTACTTCTCTGTGAGTCTGTGAACCAGAATTAAATGAGAGCTGGACAGGTGAGACTTACTCAGGGCTCAGACGCCCACACTTGTCCCAGGGTTCGTTCTTGTTGCTGGCAGAGGGAACATACGAGATGTCCTGGATGTGTTCTTCTGTGCAGCAGCTATCTGTCATCGGCAAAGACAAGAAAACATGTCAGCCAGCTGCCTGTCGTCACATTCAGGGCGATAGTTTCATCACTCGTTGTTTTTTTTTGTTTTTTTTAATACTAAAAAACATATTGTGGTTTAAGACACACTGTAAAAACTCCCAGAAAAAATCTACTCTGTGAAACAACAGTAAATGTCTGGCAGAAAAAACTGTGGAAATATTGGCAAATATCTGTAAACTAATTAGATTTTTGGCTGATTTAAATATACTAAATCAGTGTAACATTATGGTCACACAATGTTTAACAATTAGCATTTGTAAAAATATCAAAATATTGTGTGGACATGATGTACAGTTTGTCCTGTATTTTATTTGTTATTTTTACATTCAATATGTAAATTAACACCTTTTAAATGTGATTTTACTAGATATTATCATAATATATAATAATATACATAATATAATATTAATACATAATATAGATCTTAAACGTGAAATTTTTAAAATGATAAATATACATAGATTTTCTTTCAAATAAGGAAAAATAAATGTATAATATGTTTTCTAATTTAAATACAGTAAAAATGGTGACATTTTCTTGGTTTATTTTTGTTAAAGTATGAAGTTATAAAAATCCAGATTTTTCATGTTGACATGATTTACATTTTTAGCCTTTTTTTTAAACAGTTAACATGTAAATAAATACTTTTTCTCTGTGACTTTATGAGTTACTATCTGTAATTTAAAAAAACTGGGAAAATTGTTCAAATATCTTTAAAAGTTTTAAAAAACTGATGTGGACATTATTTACAGTTTTAGCCTGTTTTTTCTAGTCAACATGTAAAATACTACTTTTTTTCCCTCTGTGATTTTACTAGTTACTACCTGTGATTTAACGAAACTGTTAAATTGATTTTTAAAAATGCAGTTAAAAATAATTTTAAAAAATACAAATTTTGAAAAACAATATTTTTGATACAGAGCCTATTTGTAATTTTTATCTTTTTCTAATCTTTATCTTTTAATCTTATTTGTACTTTTTTAATAGTCACCCTGTAAACTTACCCTTTTCTTCTGTGATTTCACTAAATACTATCTTTCATTTATCAAAACAAGAAAAAAAACTACAAAACAACAGTTTAACTTAATATATATATATATTTATGTGTACATGTTTTTTTTCTTGTTGAAAACAGGGAAATTCTGTGAAATTCTTTATAAAACAGCGATTAAAAACTGGTGAAGATGCCATTTGTCATATTTATTTGTTTTCCAGTCACTCACTGTCTGCGTAAAGCGCGCACTCCGTCAGGTGCGGCTCCGGACTGGGCGTGGCCTTGTGCTTGCCGTCTTGAAGACACACCCCCTCCGAGCGGGCTCCACCAATCAGCGCAGCCGCCACGTAAAGGCAAGTTAAGAGCAGAGGGGGAAAGGTGACGCCCATGTCTGAGGACAGGAGCAAAAGAAAAGTTCAGCACACTGGACAGCGGCGGAACAAACCCGACCTGCGGGAGAAGAGCATGCGCAGGAATACAGATGATTAATTTGTGGAGAACCCGATCAAAGCTGCTTTCATGCCTCCTGGAGTCAATCATCCAGACTTTCCTCTGCGGAGAGCGAGTGAGACATCCAGCGCAGCCTGTTCGGCTCTGCGTGTGGTGACCCAGTAGCCAGGTTGAGCCTAATTAGCTGGGACGGCGGCACCGCGCTCAGATGGATGACATGCGTAGTCGTTTAATCTGACAAGCGGCTGGCTGGCCGATGTGTAGCCTACATAACACGAATTAAACAAATCTGCTGGACGTAGCCGAGTGGCCCTGAACAGCTCCTGGACGGTGACCCTGATTTTACACAACAGGGACCCAGAATAGACCCAGACAGCTAAAATAAAATAAAAAAAATGGAACAGTAATTGACTTTATCTTACAGTTTTTAATCTATAATTTGTAAACAAGAAAATGTGGCGGGATACACATAATGAATTTATAGTTTTACAATCAATAGAATAAAATAATAAACTAGAACCAGCTCATTAAAATCTAATTTTTCAATTTTACGCACAGGGTCACAAAACTAATGGCGCACTAGGTTTTGGAAAACATTGACTAATTTAAAGATAATATAATTAAAGGGCAATTTATAAGATAATAGCCTTTTAAAAAGCTGCAAGTTTAACATTTAAAAATCAGTTTTAAAGGGAACTGATCTGTCTTCATTAGTGAGTTGATCAAAGTCTGGTATTTTACGCATCTGCTGTTGGAGCTTTAAATCTCCTGAATATGTAGATTTTTATTTTTTTTTAATGGCATATCAGAACATTTTATTCGAAGACTAAACGTGTCGAACCGGTTGTGTCTCTCTGCTGTACCTGTCGGTGGGGTGAACGCTGCTCCGTCCGGATTAGTTTCCTCTGTTGCGTCCCTGTTGGTGCGTATTTTCTCGCTCCGCGTCCTCCCCGGTGTGGTGCGTCGCTGTGGATCGGCTTGTTGTGCGGCGCTCGGTGGTGCTCTCCGGTCCTCCTGCTCCTGCTCCTCTTCCTCCTCCTGCTGCTGCTGCTGCTGCTGCCTCCGTGTGCTGGCTGTGATCTCTGCTGCCCGGGGGCCACCGCTCGCCACTTTGTCACCGGTTTATGTGAAGGACATTTCAGTCCCTTCCACCAGGCGACTCACCCCCTCCCTCTGCCCCATGCTGGGAAGTCCTCTCTCTCTCCCTCCCTCCCTCCCTCTCTTGCACGCACACACACACACACAGAGAAAAGACTCCCTCCTTGTTAATCTCCCAATAGGATGTTTACCAAATCCTCCTTGTTGACGGCTTTTCCTTCAATCCGTCCAAGTACTGCTGCGCGTGGAAACACAGAAAATGTCTCTAATTGATTTCAATGCATTTTTTTTTTTTTGCCCTTCAGTTTTCAGAGAGGCTCCATCACAGGTGGTGCTGAGTCACACCTGTCCTCCCCCAGCTCACACACACACACACACACACACACTGAGGTCAGGGCTTTTTCCAGATGACAGGGTTAGAGGAGGGTACGGCTGAGATTTAATACTGTGTGATATGCTGAGGACAGAGGACACAAATCTCTGCGGAACAAAACGAACTCACCGGGAAGCTGCTGCGGGTTGCAAAACCCCCTCAGCTTTTTTTTTTCTCTCTTTTCTTTGTCAGTGGATACATGTGGGTCAACCCTAACATCGCAGCATTAACTTTTCAGACGTTTGCTCAGTGACAGCCCACAAGTACTTGATCCCAGCCGGGTTACGTCGAGCTGTTTGCCCACTGCGTGTATTACTGCTCCTGGCTTTTAATCTCACCTCCCCTTGGACCTGGTGTGCCAACCTAATCCCTGACTGGGTGCGTCTCTAACCTCTCTCTCCCTCTCCCCTCCGAGTGCCCTCCCGAGGCTTTTGGCCACATAAGAGCAGATGGAGAGCGTCTTGTGGCCTAGATACATCCGCCTAAAACCACGGCTGTGAAATTGGTGACATGCCTTAGACATGATTGGTTTTGGCAACAAAACCGTGAAGGGACAGGAAGGGACCAGACAGATTGGCCATCAAATAAACGCACAGCTTGAGTGCAGATGAAACAGTCTCGGAGGAGAATCAAGTAAGATACGGAGCGCGTGAGCCCAAGGAGGAAATGAGGGCTCGCTCGGGCCCTGTTGTCCGCCAGACTGTTTCATAACCGCTGAGGGTCATCGCCGCAGAGCACTTTATTTCTGGGGGTGAGCGAGCAGGAGCGAGAGGCAGACAAACAGCTCTTCATCTGGTAATTAGAGGAGGAATAACGATATCCTTTGTGCAAGAGCTATTCAGGGAACAGAGAGCGGGAGGACAAAGCAGGCCATCGCTGCTCTCTGTGCACCCTTGTTGTCGTTCTCATTGAACAGCGTTGGGTCACCGCCTGGGTTCGAGCCCTCGGCCGGCCCTCAGCTGGCAAGCTGTGTCACTCATTCCTGTCGACTCACTAACCGATAATCAGTTCCACCATTTAGAGGTTCTCTGATTTGTTCCACTGACCTATTTCTCCAGGATGGCACACGCTCTAACTAATGCTGCAGGTACGAGAAGTTTGAGAACAAAAGGAAAGACGTGCTGAAGCAATCTGAAAACTCCTGGTTGCAAAAGAAAGTTTTCATACTTGCTCAGACAAAGAGATGAAGCTTTGGGTCATCGGTTCTGTGGTGGATGAGATGAAAAAGAAGTTGTTTGGACACAGCACCGTGGCTTTAGTTTGAGAAATAAAAGGAGAAACATTCAGCACCAAGAGCAACATCTCAGACATGGAGGTGAGAACGAGACAGACAACCTCCTCAGAGTAAAAAACATGAAGATTCAGGAGGAAAACATCGTCTTTGGGCAGCTTTGGCCCTTCTAACAAGACAACATACAGCCAAAGTGGTGAAGGAAGGGTTAAAAGAAAACAATACGAACATATTGGACCTGAATCCATCGAGAATCTGTGGAGGAACCTGAACACCAGAGTGATGGAAAGAAGCTTTGAAAGACCTGGAGATCATCACAAAGAGGAACAAAAGCCCAGCCAGTGGAGACACGCAGGAAGAATTATTAAAACTGATTGATGTGAAGGAGAACAAGTTCTTTGCTACTGATTTTTAAGAAAGGGGATGAATAACTAAAATGTAAAAGCATCACATTTACCACAATCTCTCAGTGTCTTTTTTTCCGACCAACCTCTTGCTCAGAGAGAGTCAAACTCTGGATTGTTGGTTCTCTGTTTAAAATTCACAAGGACTATATTTTACTATGTTAAGTGCTGTGACATGACACATGTTGTGAACTGCACTGTATAAATAAAATTGACTTGAACTGAATTAAAATAAAGATTCACAAGATATCCACATTTTGGAACCGGTATGAAAGATTAACTGTACCAGGAAATCTCATCCAATAACTCAGCTACTCAAAATAACAATTAAAATTTAATTAAAACAAACTCACATAGGTATAAAATGGATATAAATATGTGGGTATTTACAACAGCAGCGAGCAACGGAGGTACCTGAGAAATGCTTGTGGTAGATTACACCTGAGTACAACCTGAGAGAACACGAGTCAGTGGATTCACAGGAACGGTGGTGGGAATGGAGCGTATCAGTGTTGGTGGGAGTGGTTGCAGAATAATGCCTGATCCCTATAAATAAGGATTCAAAAGCAGCTAAAAGTGTTGCACAGCTCTGCAGAGAGATAAAGGCAACACCCAGCTTGGGAAAAACAAATTATTTAATTTCATATAGCTAATCGTGCTAAATTAAGCCATTATTTAAGGTGTGTTTAAAGCATAATGGGGTATTTTTAAGAGGATACTGGTGTATTCAGGGTTCTTGCCAGCGTTATAAGAGAGCAACAGCCCGCTACGCTATTCCCTAAAAAAACTACGCTGCAAATTGGGCTTGTTTTATTTTCGAGAGTATGTAGCGGGAAAATGATCACTTCTCTACGTTGATTGTACCTGGCTAGCTTAGATGTATTCAGGCAAATATTTAACAAGTGCTAAGCCACTTTCTCTACTGTCTTCTTCGCTGCTATGCGTTAGCAGCGAAGAAAGACGTTAGAGAAGACGGGGGGAGACGTTAGCGAAGACGTTAGCGAAGATGTTAGCAAAGATGTTAGCGAAGATGTTAGTAAAGATGTTAGCGAAGATGTTAGCAAAGATGTTAGCGAAGATGTTAGCGAAGATGTTAGTGAAGACGTTAGCGAAGACGAGGGGGGGGAAGACGTTAGCGACGACGTTAGCGAAGACATTAACGAAGAAGTTAGCAACGACGGGGGGGCGTTAGCGAAGATGTTAGCGAAGACGTTAGCGAAGATGTTAGTAAAGATGTTAGCGAACATCTTAACAAAGACGTTAGCGAAGATGGGGGGAGGGGGACGTTAGCGAAGATGTTAGCGAAGACATTATCGAAGACGACGGTAGAGAAACTGCATCGGGGCTTGTTGTTAAATTTTTACCTGAATCCANGGTAGAGAAACTGCATCGGGGCTTGTTGTTCAATTTTTACCTGAATACATGTAAGTTAGCCAGGAAGTGTTGCTAAGACGCTACACTACATCAGGACGTCAGAGAGACTTCACCATCTAGTTCCTTGTCGTGAGGATATTTAACATAAAGCTGTCAATCTGCGCTAACCCTTTGTGTCCTAAACTCTGGAACCTTCTTAAGCTCATTAAATGCTTATTTGGACCCTCCGCCCTCCATTTCATTCTCATCCAGCCACAGTTTACGTAACTTTGAAACGTTTAATGTTAAAAGGAGCTGCAGTTTTCATGGCTACTCACAACAAAAGGTCAAACTCAGTGACCTTTCATTTGACAGAAATGTCACTGGTCAAATACCAAATTGTTGGTTTTTCTAATTAAGGGTTTTTTGCTAAGAGGACATGTTTGAAATGTCACTTGGAGTCCAGCTGGATAAACAGGAACTCGTGTTTTTCTATTCAAAAATCCTTCAAGTTCAATGCAAAGTTAGTTGCTGTTGTACTTGGAGTTGACTTCTCTTCCCCTTTTAAATCTTTTTTTTTGGTCTTCTAACACCTTCTGCTGTGACCTTTTTCTCTGAATGCTTGCAGTGCAGGTGCTCGCTGACAATAAATCCATTCAAAAGAGAAATCAGCACACTGGGATAGATCGCTCAAAGGCAAGAGTTTCAACCCAACATGGATTTATTTCTGCAAATCACTTCCTCTACAATCAGCTGACAGACACTCGAGCGATTGGACATCGTGTCCTCGCTCCGCACTCACACAAACAGTTCAAAAGGCAACTTTATGATTTTACAAAAACATCGAAGCACAAAGACAAACATCCTGAGTTCTAGTTGGTTGTTACGGAGCTCTATCTTGGATTTTTTTCTGTCCGTCTAATGGATCTGAACGGGTCGTGTTCCATCATGTCCTCGTCCCGGTTTGTTAAGTAGCTGGTGAGCTGGCAGCAGATTCAACGAGCCACTGATTTGTTGTCATTGCTGGAAGTCGGAGCAGCACTGAAGCAGTCCCAGTTCTCCACCCTGTGGCCACACGGCAGCACTGCAACGCTCAGGCCGTACAGTCATGGCTCCAGTTAATATGAAGCCCCTTCTCCCACCTCCTCAGAGTAAACATCTCTCTTCATCCCAGCTCCTTTTCTTTCTTCTTCTTAAAGCCTAGTTGTCGTTTGGTCTCAGTCTTTGTTCCTGGATGTTTTTCCCGACGTTCATGGTGAGCGTAGCGACGGCGTACGTGGACAAGATCACGATGGTGCTCCCAACAAAGTGCGACGAAGCTCCCCGTCTGACGGCAAACCTCAGGCCGGGCCTCTGGAAGTGAGCCTCGGCTGCCTCCACCGTCTGGGCGATGGGCTCCATGGCTGCTGCCGCCACCGCTGCTGCTGCTTGGACAGACATCTCCTGTAACTGAATTCAGTCGTCGGCGCTCCTCTCCGTCTCTCAGGATGATGGACTGTGCTGTCCTGCCTTGCTGCTGCTCAGTACACCTGCTCACCTTCCTCCAAAC